GCCAAGCTCTTAACCACTTTGCCACCAGGGCTCCACCACAGAGGTGCTAAATGTCAACCTCTGGGGGTGGGGCCCATGAATTTGCATTTTAAACAACCTCACCAGGTAATTTTGATTAGGAACCACCTTGATTAGGAACTACTGTCCCAGACCAGTGCTTTCTAACTTTTTTTGGATCGTGGAGCATGAACTCCCAATATATGCTGGTAGTTTATTCGTAAATTCCTTATATGTACTTATTTCCTAATATATTTATATTTTTAAGCACAAAAATGAGAGAAAAATAAGTATAAATGAAGTTATTTGACCACTATTTCCTAGACTAAAGAATAAACCTGGAAAAAAAGAGCAGGGCGGAGACAGTGGGACCTAGTGTGGGGTAGAAGGAGGGCACAGTGGTTAGAGCCAAAGTGGAGTGGAGAGATGACCCCATATTTCTCCAAATCCAGAGTGAAGGAAAAGAGAACCACAGAGGTCCCAAAGTAGATGAGCTTGTTGAGATTCTGAAAGCCTCTTGACTTAGATAAGGTAGTGAAACCAAGAGGTTCTGCAGTAACCCATTAACCTGTCCAGGCTCTGGACACCAAGACCTAGAAATTGGATGGGGCAGGGCTAGAGGGCAAGCACAGGACCTGGTCCAGACCCAGTGTTGAAGTAATAAGTGGTGTCTTGTTGAAGCACCTACCTGAGACAAACACCTGATCCTTTGAGGTGTGTAGTTAAGGAAGGCTCTGACAAGGCACCAGCCTTGATCAAAATAGAGAAGCTCCAGGCAGCTCATTTTGAGGAGTGTGGTGCTCTTTGTGTATCATGTAGACTCCAGCCCAGTAATAGAATTGAGAGGCTTGATGAGGTTAAGCAAAATGAGTAATTTCCATTTGCCTGCTACCCCAAAGAAATACACAATTTAAGTAAAAACAGTGAACTTGTTATGCGGACACAGCCTCAAGGTAAGTCTCACATCCCCCTACCCCAGCAAAATTCTGGAATAGTTGGACAGTTACTGACTGCTTCACCTGCCACTCATTGTTCCCCATGCCTGGTAGCATTTTCTCCGAGATTAGAGTAGGAGGGAACTCTTCACCATAGTCATGAAAACCTGCATTTATTCCACATTGAAGAAACATTTACTGAGCACCCACTACGTGACAGGCATTGTGCTGGAGACTGGTGATATAGTGATGAACATGACATGGGTTTGCCCTCAAGATGGGCATATGGAAGGGGCTGACAACTAAGCAGGCATGGTAAGCAGTGTTATGGGAGAATTAATGGGTGCTTTTAGATGCACAGAGTCTGGGCACCTACCCCACACTTCGGGGATCAGGGAAGGCTTCCACAAGGGAATGATACCTATATGGAAATCTGTAGAGTAAGTCAGGAGAAGAGGGGGAAAGGGAGAGTGATTCAGACGGAACAGAGTATGTAAAGGCAAGAGAGGTGTGGGAGTGGCAAAATCTAAAAGAGCTTTAGAAATCATATTAAGGGGTCTGTCTGTATTTTATGAACTACAGGGAGCCGCAATAGGATTAAAGCAGGGAAATGTGTAACACAATCGATTTATGCCCTATTTTTCTTTATCTTTAAATGTGACTTATTTTTAATTGAAAAAGGTAATAACTATATTTAGTGTATTTGTATGTATATATATTATATAGAAACACATATGCAAATACACACACACACACACACACATATACACACTATAAAAGAGCCCCACTTCAAACAATCAGTATACCTTTTCAGAGTAAAACATCATTAGCAGTTTCTTGTGTATACTTCCAGAAAATTAATGTGTGAATACATGCACACTTTTTTTTTACAAAAATGAGAACACATTACACATATTGTTTGTATTCTACATCTTGCTTTTTTGCATTTTTTGTATTTCAGTGATTGTTCTATATTACGTGTAGATCTGCATTATTTTTAACAGCTATATAGTATTCCATATTTGGATATTTTCTATTTTATTTAACTAGTCCCCTATTGAGGGACATTTAGATTGTTTACAGTCTTTTATGATCACATACTTAACTTCAGTGAATATCCTTATAGATATCCTTCTGTGCTCATGTTGGACTATATCTGTATAATAAATCCCTGCAAGTTGAGTTGCTGGATCGAAGGATATGCACATTTTACCTTCTTTCCACATCTCTCTCCGTAGGGGTTGCACCAATTTACGCTCCCATTAACTGTGTATGTGATCATCTGTTTCCTTACACCCCATATCAATTCTTTAAATTTTTGATATTAAAATTGTTTTGTATATCAGTGGGGAAAGTGGACACCTTTGCCTTGTTCCTAATTTTAATGGGAATGCATCTTTAATATTAAGCATTATGTTGTCTTTTGGTTAAAAAAAAAGTATGATTATAATGATAGTATTATGGAAATAGCCACATTTTCCTATTAGTTTTTTTTTTTCTTTAATCTGGAAAGGATGCAGAATTTTTATCAGATACCTTTTTAGCATTAGGGAGATCATCATATGACTAGTACCTTTGATTTATTAATATTGTCAATTTTATCAATATATTGTCTAAGACTGAACCAACCTTATATTTCGAGGATGAACCACACTTGTTCATGTTATTCTTTTAATGTCCTCCTGGGTTCTTTTTGCTAATATTTTACTTAAGATTTTTGCATCAGTATTCTTCAGGACTTCAAACTGATTCATTCCGGTTCAAACTCCTGCTGAGAATGTGCATTTCTAATAAGTTGCCTCAGCAGGGAACTTGTTAGAAGGTGATTCTTATGTATAGCTTCCTGGGAACTTGTAGTAGTTAGATCTTTATCATGTGTTCTAGTCTTTAACAGTCTAGTGCCTTTCTTTATACTATTGCTTTTTACCTTTAATTCAACTTTTTTTCAGATAAAAATATTATGACCCTTATTTTTTCATTGTTGGTATTAATTCATTTATTAAGCAAATATTCATAGAATACTCACTGTGTGCCAGGCACTAGATGCCAGATGAACAAGACACAAGATCCCTGCCCTCATGGAGCTTACGTTTTAGAGAATGGAACACAAAATAAACAAAAATGTGATACAATATCAGGTGGGGTAGAATAAGGATAATTATAGATAAGTAGTCTTTGTTTTAGATAGGGTGGTCAGGAAAGGCCTCTCTGCCTGGGATGCGTTTGTCATACTTTTCTTTCCACTCATAACCTTTTTTGTTTTTGTTTTCCTGAGAGGAAATGCCAGGCAGAACAGTTTGCACACAAGGGATTGTTAGAATCTTAAGGAGTTGTAGGTAGGCTAAGGCTCAAGTGAGAAGAGAAAGGGGATGAGGACTTGGATTTCTGATCCATGTGAACAATGAGCTAGCCAGGGTGGGGGCTGGAGATGAGGGGAGTGAGGGAAATTTTGTTTTCCATTCTATCTGAGCTTGGTCATCATTATGTGTATTTTTTTTTATGAAATATTCTCAGCCTTCATCATGACTATTGAATAAATATTCTGTCTGATGATTTAATTGAATCCCTGGAATTTCCTGTCACTGGAGAGTATTTAGCATGAAGTTGATTGCTCACAGGATTCAGCAGAAAACCAGGTCTCCTGACTTAGTGGACTTAACTCTTTATACACTGAGACTGAACAGATGTCCTTTGACTTTGGTCACTCTTATTATATAGAAGTTTGACTTTTTATACATATTCAAATAAAGCTGGACTTTTTTTCCTTGGAAATTTTCTTCTTTTGCTTATAAGATGAGAATCTTATTTCACCTAAAGTATGACAGTCTTTTGATTTTCTGATAGTTTTTTCTTATAAATACAAATATATACATAATTATATATATATAATATATTAAAATTATATATACACACACTTAACTCTTGAATTTGGAATTTATTTTAGTATATACTATGTGGTGTACCTCCAAGTAACATTGCTCTACTGTTATCCAAAAAGAATTATTAAATAGTCTTTCCTTAGCTCTTGTTTTGGAAGGCTAATTATATCTGATGTTTTTATAGATAGTTTGGTTTGTTTCTGGACTTTCCATTCTATTCCATTAATTAGTAACACATTGTTTTAATTATAATTACTTTATAATATGCTTAATCCCTTACTTACCCCTCACATTTTTTTTTCTGTAGCAGAATATTCTTTAATATCTCCTGTTTTTTTGTTTTCAAGTTAATTTTCAAAAACTTCTATAGTTAAAAGATTCCTGTTGAGGATTCTGGTTAGAATTGTATTAGGACATATTTTAAATCCAAAATATCAGGTATTTGTGAGTGGCCTGCTTGATGTTTTTTGTTACAAGTGTAAGAACATGGACAAATTATACATATCAAATTCATGATACAAGTTACTTTTGGAGAGGCAGTAGAGGAATAGAAGTGGAGAGTGATGCAAAGCGTATTCTTATTTCTTAAAAAAATCATGAAGCATAGATGGCAAACTATTAAAATGTGCTAATTCTTGGCAGTAGGTAGGGACATGAGTGTTTACTATAGTAGTTTCTGTAGATTGCTAAGTATTTGAGATATTCCATAATTGAAAACAAAACAAAAACAACAGATGAGGCAAGATAAGGTAAGCCCCAAAACATAGCCCATCCATTTGGAGTATTACAAACAGACAGGGCGGTGTGTGTGTATTCAGACTTTGGAGCTAGACTGTTCATGTTCAAATCCTAGTTTCACCACTTACCAACTTTATTACCCCAGGCAAGTTACTTAACTTGTTGGTGCCTCAGTTTCCCCAACTGTAAAATCAGGACAATAGTAATAGCTACCTCATAGGATTATTGTGAGGATTAAATATGTTAATACATGTAAAGCACTTAAAACAATGTTTGGCATTTAATATCTGCTCAGTAACTGTTAGCCATCATTATTATTATTGTTACATTTACTACATATGTTTTATTGTTTTGTGGCAGTTTTAAATTGTACATAAATGATGTCATCCAAAATATGGGCTCATCTGCAACTTGCTTGTTTTTTACTCAACCCTCATCTGCTATTTTGCAGGGAAAATGCTCATTCCAAGGGTAACTTTTCATGGGCAACCCCCTTTCATCCTTGCCTCGAGAACCCAGCACTAAACTTGTCAAGCTACCGAGCAATCTCTTCCCTTGACCTCCTTGGAGACTTCAAGCACTCCTCGAAAAAAACAGAGGAAACTTCAGTTTATGAGGAGGGGAGCTCCATTGCCTCCATGCCACGCCCACTGCGCAGCCGGGCCTTCTCAGAGAGTCATATCAGCTTGGAACAACAGAGTTCTCGAGCCTGGGGTCAGAATCGGAGAGAGCTCTTTGCCAAAGTTGATGAGACCCAGCCGGATCCTCTTGGAGCCAGGAAGAAGGCCTTTCCTCCTCCTCGCCCTCCCCCTCCCAACTGGGAGAAATACAGGCTCCTCCGAGCTGCCCAGCAACAACAGGAGCAGCAGCAGCAGCCGCAGCAACGGCAAGAGGAAGAAGAGGAAGAAGAGGAGGAAGAAGAGGAAGAGGAGGCGGAGGAGGAGGAGGAGGAGGAACTGCCGCCCCAGTATTTCAGTTCAGAAACCACTGGTTCCTCTGCCCTCAACACGGAGGATGTCCTGGAGCAGCCACAACCCCTGGGCTTTGGTCACCTGGAGGTCTTGAGGCAGGGTTCACAAAGCCTCCCAGCAGAGCAAAAGTCCTTTGATCTCCATTCAAGCAATTTCCTGCCCAGCCTACTTCCAATAGGTGGCCACTTGGGGTCTCAACCTCAGCAAGCTCAGCCCCCTTGCTATTATGGCATCAGTGGGCTTTGGAGGACATCGGAGCAGCTGGCCCTGGACACTAAGTCTACCAACTCCCTCAAGTAAGTGCATAGAAAGCCAGGGGTGGATTATCCAATAGGCAAGGTAAGTATAATGCTTACCTTGCTTACCAGATCATCTGTAGTGAACAAGTTCACATTTTTTCACCACATCAAAGATTCTGTTTCTAGGTATGGCTGGGATCTGTCTCTCTCCCAACACCACAGCACCTTGCTACAGAATCAAAGCCTCTTTTCAAATGTACAGTCTCTGACAGGGCGGATGACCCAGTAAGCAAGGTAAGATTAGGCTTACTTGTGCTTACTTACTAATCTGTAGTGAACAATTTCACATGGGTTTCACCATCAAAGAGGTGGTGAAACCCATGTCAAATTGTTCATTACAGATGCTCTGGTAAGCAAGGTAAGCACAGTGCTTACCTTGCCAATTGGATAATCTGCCTCTGTGAAAGACACTGGGTCCCTGAAGAGCAGGACAGGCAGCAACATGAGTTTGAATTCCACCTCCACCATTTACCAGCTGTGTGACCTTGGGCTAGTCAGTTGAACTGCTCCCAGCCTCAGTTTTCTCACCTGGATACCTGTTTCACATGGTTGTTATGAAGATTAAGATAATCTATGTAAAGGACGGGAAGGAGCCCTGGTGGCACAGTGGTGAAGCACTCGGCTGCTAACCAGAAGGTCAGTGGCTTGAACCCATCAGCTGCTCCGCAGGAGAAAGATGTGGCAGTCTACTTCTGTAAAGATTACAGCCTTGAAAACCCTATGGGGCAGTTCTACTCTGTCCTATAGGGTCACTATGAGTTGGAATTGACTCAATGGCAATCGGATGTAAAGGACATAGCCGCATGCTTAGCACACACAGTAAATGGTAAATGCTCAGTAAATGGTAGCTTTTGGTGTTCTTATTCCTAAACATCATTATTAAAAAACTGTATTATGTCTTAGTTTGTCTTTAAGGTATACTGGCCCCTGACCCAGAAGTCATTAAACCTTTGTTACGTGTAGTAAGTCTTTCCCAGCAGACTGGCTCAGGCCCTTTTCTCTCTTCTCTTCTGCTTGCACTCTAGAATGAGAGGCCAGCTCCTGACCTGACCCGCTTCTGCTCTAGGATAAGTAGCCTAGGCTTCCAAACTCTTCTCCCTATCCCCAACATCAAAACTGTTCCCGGGGTTGGGTGCTTTATGCCCTGATAATTTCTTACAACAGCTAAGGGCATTCTTTTTCTCTTCCACTTTCTCTTTCACTTTCCACCCTTATTCCCCTGCCTCTTCTCGTTTGCTTCAGTGCACAATGGGTGGCAGCTGACAGGGTGAGCTGCCTGGGCAGGGAGGCAGAAGCAGGAGTGTGGTCTGGTGGCAAGATTGCCAGTTCTGTTCACTTCACTATGCCAATGCTCATCTGTGTGCTCCATAGTTGGTGATTGTCTTTTTGCTCCAGAGCAAAGGTTCCAGGCCCATCTTTAGTCAGTGAGTTATCTTTCAGCTGTCTTACCTCCTGCCTAAAGCTCAGCCCACTCTCCGCTGAGGGAGGTGTAGATAGGCATCTGTCTATCCTTCTAAGTGCTTTCTTTAAATCCCTTTATAGAAGGAACTTGTCTCAGATTTGTTGCTATTAGAAATACCTTGTTGTCGTGTCTTTTATTGACAGCAGCCAGTCTCAGGAATTCCATTACTGGGCTATCTGGAGCCAGTTGAGAAGTTTTACAGCCTGAGTTGCCACAAGCATAGCAATTAAAGGACATGGCTCCCAGGCACTGTGAGAAGCTCTGGATCCCATGTGGCTGCTTCTCAAACTGACCATCTAACTAGGGAGCATTCTTATTGTCATTAGAAAACATTTTTGTGAAAAGTAACTGTGATTGTTACCACAGCAAGGATAAGGGAAGATGACCTAGGACACAGTAGGCACTTAATTAAGATTTTAGAAGAAAAGAATAAATAAGCAAATGAATGAACATTTATTAAGCACTTACTACTTACCAGACACTGTGCTAGTCACTTTACATCCATTATTTTATTTAATCCTCCAAACAACCCTCTGGGACATTATTATCTTCATCTGAAAGATGAGGAAACTGAAGCTTAGCAAAATAAGGGACTAACTAACTCAGAGTTACACAGCAAAGATTCAAAGCCAGATCTGTCTGGCTCTAAAACCCATGCTCATTTTGCCATCCTAGGCAGCCTCTCTCAGATCTTGTTCCAGTAGGCCATGCCTTCATGAAACCCTCGTGTCTTCTCTATGGCAATGTGTACCAAAGGTAGCAGTTATAGGCCCCAGCCTTACCACTTTCAACCTCTTGGTCCTTCCTCCTTCATTGTACCTCCATACACATTGGCGCCTTGGCCAGAGAGAAGGAAATTGCTATTACTAGAGATCTTGTATCTTGCTTCAGAGATTTTTTTTTTAAGTAAATATGGGATGAGAGTGGAAACATTTGTTTGCACACAACCCTGGCTTGTGGTTTCAAAAATCAATTCTATATATCCTATGAGTGATGGGGATTTAAGGAACAGCATCGTTCCCAATATAGCTAACATTTTTTTGATGCTTACGATGTGCCAAGCGTTGTTCTAAGCAAGTTCATGTAATGATTGATTTAATCTTCACAACAAAACTATAAAATAGGTACCATTCGTGTCACCCGTTCTTTTAGATGAGAAAAATGAGGCACAGAGAGATACAGTAACTTTGCCAAGGTCACAAGGTAGCAGAGCTAGGGTCACAGCCCAGGTATTCTGGCTCACTATGCCCACTACATTGCCCCAGATTCTCTGGGCTCCTCAAGAAGATCCTATTCCAGACCCTAAGAGACCATAGGGTCCTAACCAGAAGGTAGTGGCTTTGAGATTTTGTGTTGGGGTAAGCATTTGAATCCAAAATGTGAAAAATGACATCCTAATTTCTGCTAAGTTAAACAGCAGTATCTCTGTAACCCAGGCAGTGTTCAGTTTAAAAATACTGGGATACATTTAGAAGCAGGTTAATAGAGTTATCAAGTATTGGTTAAGTCTAATAACTGTAATTCAAGTACAGATATAGCTTGCTTTATTGATTCTATGCATTTCTTCTCAGTGCTCTATAGAATGAATCTTATTTTTGCTTTGATGTCCATTATCAAATTTGGATTATGTTCTTAGAGATCTCCTGTAACCCTTGCCCTGTAAATGGAGGTGATAAGGAAGGGAGCCCTAGAACATAGTGCCTAATATGATACACTATTATATGATAGAGGGCTGTGTCTTCTGAGGAGCTGAATCTCCAATTAGCACATCTTTTTTTTCTTTACAGTACTTTCTGACTCAGAACTGTCACACGCACGCTAAGTATTTTTATGTAAATATAAAGTCTCTAAGTTCATACAGTCATCTTCCCTCCAGAATGTTCCCCCTTGTCTGCAAACGTAGATATACTCAAGCCACAGAATTCCTTAAACGAGGGTTTCATATGATGTCAAGTTGTCCCTTTGACAGTATAGCATAGTGGTTAAAAGCACAGATTCTAGAGTCAGATAGCCTAAGTCCAGATGACAGCTCTGCCCATTTACTGGCTGGTGTTCTTGAGAAAGTCACTTTACCTCTCTGTGCCTTATATTCCTTATGTAAAATGGTTGTCACAAGCATTAAATTATATCTATATATCCATATCTATACATGTCTTAGAGCAGTTTCTGGGGCATAGTAAGCACTGTACAAATGTTAGCTAATAGTGTTCCTTTATCAGTGTTATAAGCTTGAAAACCTACATGGAGAATGAATTTACCTAGAATGAAGAATATTAGCATGGCTGAATTTCTTTTGTATGATGAATTAGGAGACAGCATAGCATGAATCAATAAATAGCTATGGAGCCTTTTAACCACTATTTTTGACTTTTATCTAAGAGCTGCAAATAGCTGCAAAATGACTAATGAGCTTCTCCATTTTTCCCTTTCGAACAGTTAGAGGTTAGCAAAGGGGCAGTGACACAGACAGGTGGAGGGTGGGAGTGGCTGGTAGGCAACAAGGAATACAGTGGGACAAGCTCCCCCTTGCATAAACCATGGGTAGAATTATTTGCCCCTCCATCTCTGAAACCTGACAGTGAAGCATTTCTCATTACTTCCTTCCTCACTCCAGACCAGAAACCTTGATGGTAGAAGAGTCAAAACCCAAGCCAGCATGGAGCCAGAGGTACTTCTTTTCTAAGGAGCAGTTCTCTTTTATGGGCTGGGGCTCTGAAAAACAACATGTCCGCCCTGCAGGCTTTGGTGAACCCAAGACAACAGGGTCTGCTGCTATACTTGTCAAGCCCTTGGTTGCCACTGGTTCCACTTTTTTCCCATTTCATTCTGTAGACATGGAGGAGGCTGGGTCCATTGGGGGTATGCCAGAAGTGGAAAGACAGTATCCTTTCTCAAGCCGAAGGGCTGCCCCACAGCAGGAAGTCTCAGAAGAGCTCATGACAGATGTGGTGGGCCATGACAAGTCCCTGGCAGGAGTGCTAAACCCAGCCTCCAACTTGGTGACCACTGCTGAGGTCATTGGTGACCTCTTTGCTGTGGGAGATCTGCAGTGGAGGGGCCATTTCAAGCAAGAGTGGCATCAGGAAAGAAGAAATGATGAGAGTGCCCAGGAAAGCTATGGGGTGCCTTTGTAAGCAATCAAACTAGAGCCTGGGGTTGGGAGGGGGGTGATGGGTACGACGGAGGCCAACAAGCTTGGAGGACAAATAGCTAAGGTCTCAGATACTTCCCTACCACATAGCCCTTCCCTTGGGATCCATATACTGGGGTCATGAACCAGGGGCAATCAGTGATTATCAGAAGTCCAGAACTTTAGGGGCCTGCCAGTTTTTCTGGATTTTTTGTGGGGTGTTACTGACCAAACCAAATTATCTTTAAAAAAGTCCCCCTAGCTGATGAAATCAGGGACATGGAAATAGCCTTCTAAGTTCTTAAAGTTTGCCTTTACTTGGCTTCTAGCTAGCCTTCATGTGGCTTGTTTACATTTGAACAGTGCTTTCTGATCCATTATTTCCTTATTTCACAACTTCTGATGAAGCAGGGTCCCATTTTACAGATGAGGAAATTAAGAGACAGAAAGATCAGCAGCCTCTCATCACAGGTTCTCAAATGGTCATTCTTTGTTTCTACAGACAAGAATTTCAGCACTTCACCCCTCCTCAGGGGGCCCCAGGGATCCCAGCCTCTTACTCAACCTATTACAATATTTCTGTGGCCAAGGCAGAGCTTCTGAACAAGTTGAAAGACCAGCCGGAGATGGCAGAGATTGGCCTGGGAGAGGAGGAAGTTGACCATGAACTGGCTCAAAAAAAGGTGAAATTTTTTTTATATACCCTAGAGATTATTTAACATTTATCTTGTTCATCTGGAGGGTAACCAGCCTTCTAAACTCTCCAGACCACCTTCATGCATTCCTGTATTTTCAATACAGAAATAAAAGGGGATTTCTGAGTTTCGCACAGACCAACTGCAGTCTTTTTTTGATCAGGATACTAGTACTGGTTAAGTCTAATAACTGTAATTTAAGCACAGATATAGCTTGTTTTATGGACTCTATGTATTTCCTCTCTGTGCGCAATAATTGTACTAATAGTAGTAGTAATCATAATCATCATCACAGTGTCTCTCTAACCCTTGGAACAATTCTACAAGGTAGATATTACTATCCTCTTTTTTACCAGCTAAGGGGACTAATTTGCCCAGGGTTGCAGAGTAACTGGTAGATCCAGGACTTAACACTGTCTGACTTTCTACTCTGCTGTGCTGTCCCTCTGAAGTAAGCCAGCCTTATAAGTAACTCCTTGCCCGGGCACATCATAGTTTCTGCCAGTGAGCTCTAACCAATGGCAGTGTCAATGATTTTATTATCTTTGTAACTTTCTAGGAGCCCTGGTGGTGCAGTGGTTAAGCAGTTGGCTGTTAACCGAAAGGTTGGTGGTTCAAACCTACCAGCAGCTCAGCAGGAGAAAGATGTGGTAGTCTGCTTCCTTAAAGATTTACAGTCTTGGAAACTCTACAGGGCAGTTCTGCTCTGTCCTAAAGGGTCACTGTGAGTCGGAATTGACTCCATGGCAATGGGTTTTAGCCCAGACAGGGTAACTTTCTAGGAGAGAGAACAGACTAAGAACAAAATGGAGAAATTATAGGATGACAAACTGTACTATTTATGGCAAGGATGGTCGATAAACTCTTAAATAAAATAGATAAATGGAGATTATGTTGTTGTTATAAAACCTCCCACTTTCTCCCTGTAAAGGAGCCCTCGTGGTGCAGTGGTTAAAGCTCTGGGCTGCTAACAAAAAGATTGTTGGTTCAAACCCACCAGCTGCTCCATGGGAGAAAGATGTGGCAGTCTGCTTCAGTAAAGATTTACAGCCTTGGAAACACTATGAGGCAGTTCTACCTTGTCTTTTAGAGTAGCTATGAGATGGAATCGACTCAAAAGCAGTGGGTCTGATTTGGGTTTTCTCCCTCTAAATATCACTAGCCTGGTTTTCTAATCAAATTCCTAGAATCACTTTGCCCTCCCTGCACTTACCCATTTGATTTCATAAGCAAATAGGGTTGCCATGGCAACCTGAACGGCCCAATTTACCACTTTGTGAACATCTGAACTCAATGTAAATTGCACCTCTGCCCATATTTCTATTGCAGGACATCATCTGTAGGAAAGCTCAGGGTCTTTTGCAACAGTCCGCCCCCCACCTTCCCATCTGAAGCAAAGTGTTAGGGAAGGAATTGGAAGCATGGCGATGTCAAAGTTTTATTGATTCAAATGACCACTTCCTTGCTTGGATGTTCTCTCAGCATGGCAAGGCTGCTCCTGGTTTACTAGAACCTGGCCTCCACCAGAGCAAACCTAATAAAAGCCTGACCAGGAGAAGAGAAAAATGATCAGAAATGTCAAAGCACAGAACAGCAGATAGTGATTTGAAGCGATTGTGGATGGGCTAGGACAGTTTTTGTATCTGAGGAAGAAAGGTGAGGAGGGTTACCAATTTTCAATATCCTGGAAAAGGAACTCAGCTCTGTATGGTTCTGTGATGACTTCACAGTCCTCTTCTCTATACTTTTCCCAGCATCAAGGTTCAGGTTGCACAGCACAGGTGCAGAGAAGGAAATGGCTCTCTGTGCTTTCATCCTTCCAGACCAGGGTGGGTGGATGATTTTCCAAGTTGATCATTTGGCCTCCAGCCATCCCTTGTCCCTGGCATTGAGTTTTATTGGGGAAGAGCAGAGGGTGCAGATACACTTGGTGGCCTCTTGGCATGTAATTGCCTCATTCATATCACTGATCCCCAACCCTCGGTGGATTTTGGAATTTTCCCCAAAAGCAAATATATTACACTTTACACTAATACCCTGGTGACTTCCTGACTTGGTCTTGGTCAGCTTGGACATTTCTAAATAAACTGCTAGAGAGGAACACACTGTAGCAAACTACAAGCCTCTTGTCCCAGAGTTCCTGGTCTGGAATAATAATAAAACACTGAAGCATATTTCTTATGTGCAAGACACCATTCTAAGAATGTAACATGTATTAACTCATTTAATTATCATCACAACTCTGTGAGGTATGTACTGTGGTTATTCTAATTTTTTTTTTGAGATGAAGAAATTAAGGCACAGAGAAAGTGAGTAATTTGCCACTACTTCATGGCTGAGCTGGGGTTCAGACCCAGGTAGTCTGGTGCTAGAGTCCATGCTCTTAACCATAATGCAATACTGGCTGCAAAGGCTATGGACAATATGGGATGGGTCCATTCTTGTCAGAACCTTGCAGCTAAATAAGTATCCATTAGCTCAGAGTGCCTGGTATAATGACAATTATGATGATGATGAAAATAATAATAATTATTATTGTTATTATTATAGCATCAGTAAACATGTATTGAGCACTTATCAATGTGCTCGGCACAAAACTAAATATTTTACTTCTATAAACTCATTTAATGCTCATAACAACCTTGTGGGGGCAGGGGGGCAGGGTTCAGCTTCTCCTCTTCAAAGATGAAAAAATAGAAGTTTCAGTAAGATTAGGTATCTTGCTCAAGGTCACGTAATTTGGAGTAAGTGGAATTGGAATCCAGTTGTCTCTGACTCCAAAACTCCACTCTACCTCACTGCCTTCCTGGGAGTGCAGTCCCAGAACTGATTATAGTTGTAGGGGAGACAAATCAGAAGACAGAGGCAGTACTGCTTTTGAGAAACTTAGAGTCAATAGTAGGCCAGGAGATCAGACTCACACACATGAAACAGGAAGTAAACAACTTCAAATTACACTAGAGGATTCTGACTCTTGGGAGTTCAGGGAAGAAAGAAATCATTGAGCGAAGGGCTACCAGGGAGGGCTTCCTGTAAGGAGGGTGGGAGTAAAACTGGGCCCCGACAAAAAGAATAGAAATAGCCAGAGTAAACCAAGCCGAGTCGATTCCGATTCATAGCGACCCTATAGGACAGAGTAGAACTGCCCCATAGGGTTTCAAAGGAGCAGCTCTGGTGGATTCAAACTGCTGACCTTTTGGTTAGCAGCCAAACACTTAACCACTGTGCCACCAGGGCCCCAGCCAAAGTAAAGAAAGAGGTAAAGAACAGGTGGAACTGCATAAGCAAATCGGGAACACAAGAATGAGTGTTGTGAACACAGAAGAGAGTGAGAAGCTAATCTTGACACGTTCTGAGGAGTGACATTAGAATGGTACGGTGGGGCCAGACTGAATAATAATAACAGCTCACTTTTCTTGAGCACTTACTCTGTGCCAAGCTCTTTGTGTGCATTATCTCATTGAATCCTTATTACAGCCCAGTGCAGTGGGTACTGCAATTACCCCCCATTCTACAGACAAACAAAGTGAAGTTCAACAAAGTAAAATCACCCAAGGTCACACAGGTAGGAAGTGTCAGAGCTGGAAGTCAAACCAAGTCATTGTGATTCCAGAACTCACACTCTTATTCAAAAGGCCTCAGAAACCAATCTGAGGGGGCAGGGACCTAGCATAGTACCATAGAGATACTTAAATGGATTGAAGGAGAATGAATGCAGTGATAGGTAAATACTTGACAACAATACTTTTCCAACCTAGGCTCTTACAAGCACTCCAGTTCCTACTTATTAAATAGTCTTTGCAAATATTTATTGAAGTGCACTTGGCAAATGAAGTTTAGCCCATGGATACCACTTATCTAATACCAAGGAGTTTGCTGGTGATATGGAGATTCCTACTAGAGCTAAAGAGATGGAAGCACTTTGGGAGAGCCTGGGAGAGAAGGTGCCTGTCCAAAAAACTGGAATTGCTCAGGACTTGCTCACATTTTCTTTGTTTCCATGACTAGGATAGAACCCACAGATCTGTTAACTTGGGTCCCAAAACAGGTTTTGAGCACAGATCAGTTTCTTTTAATCCCCATTCTCATCCTTTGCTTTCTCCTGTTTAACTCTCCTAGATACAGCTTATTGAAAGCATAGGCAGAAAACTCTCCATCCTGCGGGAGGCTCAGCGAGGGCTGCTGGAGGATATCAATGCCAATTCCTCCCTTGGGGAGGAGGTGGAGGCCAACCTGAAAGCTGTCTGCAAATCCAATGAGTTTGAAAAATACCGCTTGTTTATTGGGGACCTGGAGAAAGTGGTCAACCTGCTGCTGTCACTCTCTGGACGACTGGCCCGGGTGGAGAATGCTCTCAACAGCATTGATTCAGAGGCCAACCAGGAGAAGGTAAAAGTGGGGTCTCCGAGATGTGGATGGAGAGAAATGCCACCTGTTTCTCCTCAGGGCTCCATCTTTCAAGCTTGGCTGTTGTGGTAGGCAGCAGAGCATAGTGTTAAAAAGAATGTGGGCACTGGCTTTCAAGTATCTTGAAATTCTGACTCTATCACTTTTTATCTATGTGACCACGGGCAACTTATTTAACCTCATTGTCTCAATGTCTTCATCTATAAAATGAGGTGAACATACACCTACTTCATGAGGTTGTTGTGAGAATTAAATTAGATAATCCATGTTAATTACTTAGAACAGAACCTGGAAACAAGAGGATAAACACTGAATCAGTGCTGGCTGCCAGCAGTAGCAGCAGCAGCAATTTTGCCCCACTTTCAGAGTTGGAGGAGCCCTGGTGGCACAGTGGTTAAGAGATATGGCTGCTAACCAAAAGGTCGGCAGTTTGAATCCACCAGCCGTTCCTTGGAAACCCTATAGGGCAGTTCTATTCTGTCCTATAGAGTCGCTATGAGTAAGAATCAACTCAATGGCAACAGGTTTGGTTTAGCTTTGGTTTTCAGAGTTGGAGGGGGAGGTCTCAGCAAGTAATTTGAGATTGAGAGGTTGTCAGTTTCATAGGTTGGGTCACTTTGTGTATATTTCTGAACAAAAACTGCATTACCATTCCCACTACAAGTGGTTTGGGGTACAAAGTTTAATCCACAATAAGAGGTGTGTATGCATGTGCACACATGGATACATACACTCATACATGTACACTCACACAGAGACACGCACCATTTAGAAAGCATTGCCATCATAGTGACGGTTGTTTACTAGGTGGACAGGACACAGGCTGGATTTGTCAGAGGAGGAGGAGTTGGTTGTGACAAGTTAGGTGGACTCAGCTTTCTTCCACCCAACCCCATTTGTGGTCCACAGATTAAAGATTTTGATAACCACTCCTCTCAAGAAATGAGTAGAAGGCCTCTTAACCACTCAAAGGCAGCCTTAGAGCTGGAAAGAGGAAATTATAGTGTTTATCCTCCTCCTGCTAAAGGAAAGAAAGGCTTTTGTATGCAGGTGGACCTAAGGGCAGGAAATCTAGGGTTGTTCAATTAGAATAGATGGTTGCTTTGTGGTAGCATCCCTAGTGGAGCGTTAGGTTAGGCAGATGACTGGTAATTAGATGGTCCTTAATCAGTCCTCTGCCTCCCCAGTTGGTGCTGATAGAGAAGAAGCAGCAGCTGACGGGGCAGTTGGCAGATGCCAAGGAGCTGAAGGAGCATGTTGACCACCGGGAGAAGTTGGTGTTTGGCATGGTCTCCTGCTACCTGCCTCAGGACCAGCTCCAAGATTACCAGCATTTCGTGAAGATGAAATCTGCCCTCATCATTGAGCAGCGAGAGCTGGAGGAGAAGATCAAGCTCGGGGAAGAGCAGCTCAAATGTCTCAGAGAGAGCCTACTCCTGGGGCCCAGCAATTTCTAATTCCACCAGCAGTTTGCCACAGCATGCCTGCCCAGCCACAGTGGGAAGTGCTTTCAATCTTCATTAGCAATTTGTTAGCAATTAGATAACAGTTAGTTAGCAGTTTGTTCCATACTCTGTACCCTGGACTTCTCTTACTGCCCTTTACCTAGCAGTTCCCCTAACCAGCTAGGAGACCCTGGGGAGGCCCCAAGCTTCTCCCCAGGGGAGCTGCAACGAGTTGTAATCACACCACCACACTCTCCTTCCCACAGTTTGCATAGGCAAGCATTCACTGTACACAGAACCAACAAAGTTCTACTGTGTACTAGGACACCAAAGATGTTATCTACTCACCACCCACGTACACTGTAATCAGACTCTCAAGGCTCAGGAGCTATCTGTGCAGCTCCACTCTGCCCCAGGGCTCTGTTTCCCACAGGGGTTTGGCTGCCTTGAGAGTATTCACCTACCGTCAGTTTCAGGGCCTCACCTAAGCTTTTGTAGTGGGAAGCACAGAACTGGGAATTGCACTTAACAGAATGGTAGCAAAGGCTGAGAATTCCCAGGTGCCCTGCTGGAAGGAGCTAGTCTGAAGCAAGTTGCTTCCACCCTCACCTTCTCCAGCAACTAGCTGGCTGTAGGAACCCTGCTCTCAGCTTTGGCTGGTGTGGCCTTCCTCCTGTCCTAAAACTTTCAGCCTGCCTCCGCCTGCTTCCACCTTGCCCTTTCATTGTTGGAGGTTACAGGTGCCCACCCCAGGGCTTCATACTGTGGACCATTAATAGCTCTACCAAAGCTAACTTTTGGATACATGTTTCATTATTGGGGAGGGGTGGGTTTTTCTCTTTATTGTTATAGTTTAAATGGCCTTTTAGTTTTATTTATTTTTATGTTTTGATTTTTTTTCTTTTTTTAACTAATAAGGCGAGAAGAGGGAAGTTGGAGAAGAAAAAGTTAGCCCAGAAGGAAAGCATTTTCTGCAGATCAGCCTGAATCCACCATAGCTTGATAAGCAAGTGCTAAGGCTCTGAATTCTTTGCACCATAACTGACAAGTGTCTAAAAAGGAGTCCTCACCTTGAACTCAGAGCATCCCTACTGTGGCCTGGCCCTGTGCTTCCCTTGAAGTCTGGGTGACCATGAGCTTAGCATTCCCTAGCAGGGTTCAATTTTTTTCCTACTTTTTCTTTTCTTGAAACTAAAGAAATCTCCTGAAACTGGCAAAAGTTCACCCATTTCTCTACCATCTCCAGGCTGAGAAATGAGTAGAGGTGAGCTCAGGAGGAGCTCCTCTATTCAACAATTACTTTCCTCTGCCTGGCAACCTGACTCAGGTAACCAAACTAGGGGCAGCTAGGGCCAGCCCCCCAGAGCAAATAATAGTCCACCCCAGGAATAAGTATAGCCAGGAACTTAGACATGCAAACAACCAATGCTGCTGCTGTTGCCAGGGACCTGACACTGGTAGCCAGTTCCTATCCTGGAAAAGCTCTCAGGTGGGTAATGGCAGGAAGAGAGTTGTGAGCAGATGGCCAAACTCTGCTCTGTTATCCAGCTCAGCACCCTGTTCCTTGTTAACTGGGGCCAACCTTTGGTACTGGTCAGCCCAGTCCAGCCAAGCCCTGGCATCTCTTCTAGTGACTGCTGAGTTCCTCAGCGCCCTTGGAGGTTAACTGTAGCAGGAGAGGTGCCTCATTCAACTGAAAACTTTGCCAAGGAACTTTGCTGCTGCTACAAATACCGGTCACTAGCTTCTGTTTCCTCCTCATTGTATTTGAAAACAATGGGAGAATCTTGGCCAGCGGAGTGTTCTTGGTGGGGAGCGGGGTTTAACCATTTCTGTGGAACCCTGAGTATGCTCTTAGAACCACTGTTGCTGTTAGAACTGCTGTTTGAATGTCAACTTTCATTCTTTCATCCAGTTGAGGATTCTACTCTATTCAGGAAGGCTGATGACTTATAAAAGGCTAGGCGTACCCAAGCTAAGGATGAGGAAGATAGGAGGAGTGCTATGAATAGAAGCTGTGGTTGCCATCTTGGTTTTTAAACAGGCTCAAGAACAAAGAATAAGCAAGTTGAGATGTCCTATATCGGGGGCATGAAACTGATGTATTCCATAATGCATAGCTTTTTTATGAATATGGGCCCAGGGAAAAGATTGCTCACTTACCTGGGCACCAGGGCCAAGGTCTGGGTTTTTTCTAATTAGTGTTAGTTAGATTGGCTGTGCCTTAATTTTCTGACACTAAAAGTACAATCAACTCAGTTGTTTTTGTCACTCATCCCACCCAAATTAGCTTATAGAATCAGAATACAACACAAGGTTGCTCATTTTCACATGGAGGGACAGTTTTCAAATCACTTAAAAAATAACCCAACAAATTATGCTGAACAGTGAAACTTGGCAGACAGAAGTGAACTAAACAGCATTCCTGGCCTGGCAGTCTCATTGTGAGTGATAGTGCTGCAAAGCTGCCAATATTACTTGAGATGTAGTGTCATTCCCCCATTCTCATTTCCTGGGCCCAGACCTCCTCCCAGGCCTGCCAGAAGGTAGCAGTTTAGAGTGCAGGCCAAGGGATTTCCCCAAAGACAGTTATTGGTCCTCACTTCTACTTTCTCCCTTCAAATACTCATACAGGCCCCAGTGGGTAGTGAGTAAGTTTGTTGAGATGAACAGGAGTCAGTGCAAGAGTTCCTATCACATGTCCCACCCCCACTATCTCATCTTCCCAGTAGGCTAGATAATTAAGTCTCCTTGAGTCACACCAGCTGCACACTCATCCAGGATATAGCAGTAAATGCCCAAGGGGAATCTCAGAGAGAGAGAGAGAGAGAGAAAAGCCCTAGAAAGGGAAAGATCATGGAAGCAGAGGAAAGGAGAGAGGGTAAAAAGATGAGAAGCCTCTTTCAAAGTAGGTTCAGGTTCTGTTTTCCATTTGACCTCATGTGCCAAAAAGCTGCCTAGGGGCACCAGAGTCATACCCTTAACTCTAGCCTCCCTACAGGTGCTACTCTGCCAGTAGCAGGCCCCAGATGGAAGAAGCTGGGCACATTTTTGGCCACTTCCACCCATCTGGAGCATGGTAACTCCCATTGTCTTTGCCAGAGGAGTTATCTATGCCAATAATATTTCTGTAACAGCATATTGTTTGAAGATTAGTAGATATTTAGAGGGGGGTGGGGCAGGGGTCTGTTCCTATAGAGAAAGAAACTGTTTGTTGTACAACTGTCAGGGGTCATCTATCCCATGTGAAGCTATTATTTTTCTGAATTATGTTTATCCATTTATGTCCTCCACCACTCCCTTCTCGGCTGACATTGTTATGCCTGCCAGATTGTCATCAAGGGTCATACTTCAATAAAAGGTGCTAAGGACAAAAACATATCTCATGTGTTTTGACTGAGGTGATGAAATCCCCTAATATTCTGCTGAAAAGTATTGGAAAGGAATTTAGTCACCTGTGTCCTTCATAGGCAGCCATATGACCAAAGCCTTACTCACAAACATCCCTAAACCTTTACCCTGGCCCCTCAGGGATGGCATTGATGCTACACCATTCATTAACCCCAGTAAAGTAGCAAGATCTGCCACAGCCTTTGTCAGGGGAACAGCTTTACAACATCTATTCCAAGAGCACCCTGAATAGGGAACACAGGCTTTATGCCATGTGTTATTTCTGTTGTTACCACGGGATTGAAGTATGCTGTTTTTTCTGTTTAAAAAGACCTCAGGACCACTGCCCTGCCCTTTAGTTCACTGATAAATTTCTTCTTCTATGGTTAACCAATAGCAACATCACAACTAGCCCAATTCAGCATTTAGAATGAAGGAAGATTCAACAAGAGGTGTAATCTCAGGTGTAGACCTCAACAGTTATATGGAGTCTAGTTCTGAAGTCTAGCCTGATCAGAGGTGAGCCACCTTCTAGACCTTCTCCAATCTTGAGTTCTATCTACTAGTATCATCTTGCTTTTACCTGATATTCCAGTCTCACACCCTCACTTTCAGCTCCATGGAAAGCAGTGTCCTTGCTGATGAGCTCTCCAAAACAACCCCAAGGATTAGATCTAAAGGTACTTCAGGCAGCTCCCCCTGAAACCCTGAAATTCTTACTTTTTTTCCTGATCCATACATCGTTCATGTACCAACTGCCCTCCTCCTGCCCCAGAAATCCAGTGTGGTAGAGTGGAAAGAGCCCAGCTTTGGTATTAGAATGAACTGTGTACGAATTCTAGAGTACAGATTCTGTGTCACTTACTCCATGGACCTGTGTAACTTTCTCAACCCCTGAGTTCATTTTCTTGTCTGTAAAATGGGGACAATACTATTTTATAGGATTGCTGTGGCTTAAAAATAATCAGTGGAAGCCACCTAGCACCTAGCTATCTCCTGGGAAGTTGTTATAAAGGCAGAGCCCCAGGCCTCACCCCAAACCCACTGAACCAGAGTCTGCATTTTAACCAGATCCCCAGGAGATCCATGTGCATATTAGTAGTTGAGAAGCACTGAACTATCACAAACATGCTCATTACCTGTTGATTATTATTTTTTATATTTTATTATTTAATCAATTCATTCTTTCCTTTTCCAAACATATCTCTACTCTTCTCATATTGCTCACACATACCTGTCCAAAGGAGTTCAGCAAAGTTGCAGGATAAAAGGTTAATATACAAAAATCAATTGTATTTCTATACACCAGCAATGATGTTTAAAAAAAAATCCATTTATAATAGCATTGAGAAGAATAAAATACTTAGGAATAAATTTAACAGAAGAAATGCAAGTCTTATATATTGAAAACTACAAAATATTATTGAAAGAAATTAAAGAAGATGTAAATAAATGGAAAGACATCCATGTTCACGAATCAGAAAACAATATTGTTAAGATGACAGACAATACTTCCCAAATTGATCTGCAGATTCAATACAATCACTATCAAAATCCCAGCTGACCTTTTGTAGAAATTGGCACGCTGGTCTTAAAATTCATATGGATATGCAAAGGACCCAGGAGAGTCAAAACAATCTTGAAAAAGGAGAACAAATTGGAGGACGCACATTTCCTGATTTTCAAAACTTCCTACAAAGCTACAGTAATTGAGAGTGTGGTACAACCACAAGGATAGACATATAGATCAATGGAATAGAAATCAGAGTCCAGAAATAAGCCCTCATATTCATGGTCAATTGATTTTCAACAAAGGTGCCAAGACAATAAAAATGGGGAAAGAATAGCTTTTTCAACAAATGGTGCTAGAACAACCAGATATCCACATGCAAAAGAATGAGGTTGGACCCTACCTCACACTATACACAAACAATAACTCAAAGTGGATCATAGATCTAAATGTAAGGGCTAAAATTATAAAACTGTTAGAAGAAAACATACAAGTAAAGCTCGTGACATTAGGCTAGTCAATGATTTCTTAGCTTCAACCCCAAAATTGCAAATGACAAAAGAAAATATAAGTAAATTGGACTACATTAAAATTTAAAACTTCTGTGTGTTACAACAATACCATCAAGACAGTGAAAAGA